AGCAGCAGTACAAGTGGCAGATGTGAAACGATCTCTCAGATGGACCATTCTTATGGGTCGGTTCTGCTCTGGTGTGGTCACTTGAGGGCGACCGGATCTTGGATGGTCATCTGTCCTGCCAGTTTGCTGAAACCTTCTCTGCAGTCAGGACACAGTGGAGCGGCTTACTCCATAGTGTCTGGCAACGCTGGCACATGACATGCCTGTCTGCAGCATGCCAATGGCCCTCTCCCTTGCTTCTGGTGACATTCAAGGAATTATGGAATGCACAGAAAACTGACTAAGTGTGGCCTTTTTCTTGCAGTGACCTAAGCTTTGAATTAAAGCCTTCTTAAAGGTGACCTGATCAGGCATTGTACCACCTGGACCTCGTTGGGTAAAAGTGCACCTAACGAGCTTTCATGTGATTGGCAAGTTTCAGTGCTTCACTGCACAAGCTGTATAGCTGGTCCCAGGGCTTAAAACAAATTGACAACTTTTATGAAAGCACATAAACTATAACTACAGTATTTGTATTCTAGAAAATGTTGTGTTTCTTTTTTCCATCAGTATATATGTTCTAAAAACAGAGCATGTTTTAAGATTTTAAAGTGGCACAAATATAAAGTTATGAATTCAAAACATGAAAAGGAGAACAGGTTTCAGTACAAGGAGAAGGCAAAACTGGAATGTCTTTAATTTTAAAGTCAAGTCTTCAATGCTTAATGCTGAAATTTAATTCTCATAACAATTAAAATAAAAATATATCAGAGCTCACAGCAGGCAGGAGAAAACAGGGAATAACTATGTGTTCACTTACTGGAGTTCCCTAAGTAGGCAAGAACTACAAAAGAACTGCTAGATTTATGGTGTCTTATTTAAGTTAATGCTGTTTGGAGCCTTTGCAAGAGGGTTTTTAAGGGATAATTGCATTTTATGAATAGTCATGTACAGTAAGAAGATTATGAAGGAGACTTTCTAAAAGGTGATAATTTGAATTTAATTCTACCTGGCAAATGAAAATCAATCAGTGTGATTATTCCCAGTGTCTAAAACTGTATTTACCAAACTAAATTGAAAAAAAAAACAATCTTTATCCAGATATTGTATGGTAATTACATTGATGTGTACTCAGAGCTGATGAAGGTTGGAACAAGGATTTGTAGACTATGTGTTAAGGGAAGGAAAAACAAAAGTGACATTTCTGTGGTAATGTAGTTCTGTAGTCGCTCATTAAAGTATGTTTACACTAGTTAATCAAAGTAATGAAAAATAAAATACTTCTATATTCATAACTGTGATACTTTGATACACTTCAAAATTAGAGAAACAACTTACAAGAAGATGAGAATAGGTCCATACATACAGTATATCACAACTCACTGATACCAAAGATATAAAACCACATACAAGAAAAAGCACTTGACTGTATCCTCTTAGTTTTTTTTTTTGTTAAGTAAGACAAATATCTAACAGGTCATTATGAGGTAGTCTTCAATAATACATTGAAAATTAGGTGGTGGTGGCAGTACTCTATGCTGAACAACCTGTACAATATAATAGACAGCACTTGTCTTTTAGTGGAACATCCACTGCCATCAGTTAGTAAACAAGCTCCTAAAGATCTTTTCCAAACTGCTGTCTTCAAACATGAGCTGCAATAATATTAGCACTTCCCATGGGCCTGAAAAAATTGCACTATGCAATCCTACACTGAGTTCACGTTTTTAGGACTGAAGGCCCCCAAATCTGTAGAACACAGTTCTGCAAATTTTCATCTTTGTCGTCACTATATGACATAAACTGTACATGTCTTAAAGATGCTGCAGCTCTGGAGTCAGTCCACAGAAGAGCAGCTATTTCTGTGTTGAACACTCACAGGATAAAAGAACTGAATCTTTTACATAATGAACAGAGTAGACGGAGAAGGGACAGTTCAAGTATTTAAAATCTTTAAGGGCACGTCAATCAACTGGATTCTATAGAGAATTGCATTTAAAACAAAGAATGGGAGGAGTGTTTATACAGAGAGGGCAGTGGGTGTCTGAAACAAGTGGCAGTTGGACGAGATCCTCTAAACACTTAACTGCTAGCAACCAGATGAGCTACAGTAGATTAGCTAAATGGCCTCCTCTAGTTTGTGACTTTTCTTAAGTCATTAACTGTCCATAACTAGGGATTAGTGGATGAGTGGATAAAGGGATCTTACCTAATGAGAATAACTACTGTTGGAGTGTGTCCCATGGCTCCAATGAAGCATCCAGCACAAAATACAGTAAAAAACACATGAAAAGTACTTTGGCAGCCAGAGCTTGGACATTGTCCTGGAATGGCAGTAGAATGTAAAGCAACTCCAGAATGTATACAGGCACAGGATGTGAAGTTCTGAAAGAGATAATCCACAGACACAGTCACAGATGGGCTAGGCATTTACACATTTTATTTCTTCCTCATGCATTTTGCATTTAAATATTTAGCTTAAAATGTCTCAGTCATTTTCATTTCTCAGCTAAAGCTCAAACAAGATAATGATAATTTGTATCTCATAAACTATTTTGAAAGCAGTTAATCTTACTGCCCGTATCTTGAAAGAAAGACACCAGACTAGATTGTAATGTTCCTCACAACAGTTGTATCAGGCAGTGCAAAAATTTCAACAAAGCAACATCCTAACACAGAGCCATCATTCCTGGTCCTAGAGAGACACAGGGTGTTCTAGTTTTCAACCCGACATTTACTTTGACATAATTTAGTTTGATTATCATAAACCTATTTGGTTTGAGTTACCACTGTAGTCT